CCGGGGAGGTCCGAGGAAGGCCGAGGGCGCGCCCAGTCTCTCAACCCAGCCGGCGGTAACCAGCACCCCTCAGAAAGTGGAAGGCAGGAGAAACTCCGCCGAGCTGTCGTGGGCCTGCCGGCTGCCTCACACGCCAACTCCCGTTCTCTCGCTCTCTCTGGAAAAGTGAGGGGGGGCTGCCTTTTGTTCCTCTCTGCCCGCTTCCCCGCCCCCTTCTCCTCCCCGGATCCCCGGCTTGCAAGGGAAATCTGCGGCGAGAAAGGCGACCTCCTGCCCCTGTATCGACACCACGTGACGGGGTCGCCCTCGGCGAGCGCGATCCGGTTTTGGGAGGGCCGAGGAGAGTAAAAGAGGCGAGCAGCGTCGGGGTGCGGGGGAACCTTTGGTTTTCGGAGAGTTTCGATTCGGAGGGGGGGAGCGCCGGCGAGACTCGGAGGGACGTCCTTGGCAGCTCCTCCTGGATGAAAGAAAGGTGGCGGCGCGCTCCGCCGCAGAGCAACTTCAGGAGGAGAAGCCGGTAGCGGGAAGCTCCGCGATCTCTTTTGGTGTGTAAGCTTTAAAGCCTGCGAAATATTTGCTAATGACCGAGAGTTGGATGTAAACCAATACATTAAAGTCTGAACTCTTAACTTAATGGAGGAGTTTGGGGCTGTGTTGAAATGTCTTTCTACAGACGTTTACAGTTCATATCTAGAATAGATCTTTGTAAAAGATGATTTGCGAGCAACAAAGTGTGTAATGTATGTATGTATGTATGTATGTATGTATGTATGTATGTATGTATGTATGTATGTATGTATGTATGTATGTATGAATGTATGTATGTATGTAAGTAATAATACTGATAAATAAATGATTAGTAATTTAGGTTGCAATCCCAAAGAAACTTCTTTAGGAATTATTGGATTTATAGTGGTTCCTTATGAAGAAATATGTAGCAAACAGAGCTTTTCTTCTTACCCACTCTGACAATTTTGCTAGTAAAGGTGGCTATAGAATGCAATATCTTCTCTCATTTGACACTCCACTCCCAATGCAAAGACTAATACATTGATGCAATGATTAATATACATTGCAGTTCCCTGCACTGCATTGTGTTTTACTGTTTACTTTTCAAAGTACAGTACTTCATCTAAACCAGTTTTTTATGAGACAAGGGCTGTACTCCCTTGTTCTCTGGGCATTGTGCATTGGAACAAAGCTAATGTTGTCGTAGTCTAATATATTCTAGGTATAGCATGTTATTTGCTTCTAGAATCTAAGAACTGACCTTGTCAATTTGAATTTTTTCACTTGTAGTTCAGCTGTGTGTGTCCATATGTACAGGATATTTTATAAAATGCACTTGAGATTAATAAGGTGTTGTGAACTTATGCTTTTCTGGACTAAACTGTAATAAAATGTGGTAGGGATTAGGAAACAATTCTGGGCTCACCTTGAGGAAGTGTGAAACCACACATTTTCCCCCCCTCATTATTTAATTTTGATCTGTGAGTATCTTTTCCCCATCCCACCCTCGCAGCACCTTAAATAATATAAATAGCTTGTACTGTGTTAGTGAGCATGCATAGCGCAAAGGCTGGAACAAAAATATGTATGGAGAAATGAAAGAGTTCTAGAGGATAGCTAACTCTTTTGTTCGGTTGTTCCGGGTTGGAGGGGCAGTCAAGTTTTTCTCGACAGGTAATCAGAAACAAAAAACCCTGACAATCCAGAGCCCTACCTTGGACATTCTGTAGGACCTGCAGATCGGTTTAGGCCTGGATCTGGGATGGGCCGAAGGGATTAACTAGCCTAGGCGAAGCGATTTGCTTCTGCCTTTGTTGGGGGACGGGCGGGCGGGGGAACTGGATGAAAANCCCATCTTAGACGAGGCTCCCCGCCCCGCTTGCCCTGCAGCCTTTCCCAACTAACCCCTTCCTTCCCTCCCGCCCGCCCCCCGGGCTGCCGGGGATGCTCATGCTAGGAGTTTCGTGTCTGACTTTCGGCAAACCTCGTGGCGCGGCTGTTCCAACTCCCACCCCACCCCCCTTGTCTTGCAACTGGGCACATTGTTCTCTTCTGGCGGCGCTCGAGCGCGCCGCGCGCTCTCTCTCTCT